ACATAGAAAAAAACCTGAAACACCAAGAGAAAAACCCATGCCTCCTATGTGCCTGGCCCAAAGCTCCTTCTTGAGTCCCATTCTGTCACAAGGTCAGGCTATAACTCTGCTGTGACAGTCTGTAACAGGTCTCCTGACAGAGACACACACGTTGGCTGCCAACCCTATGCAGTCACCCATCTATCATCACTTATTTTTAGCTAAGTAATATCCATCTATTCATCCACGCAGTTAATCGTCCATTCATCATGCTTTCATCCATCTACTTGTCCATCCATCACCCATCCTCCACCATCCACCCCAGCATCCATCCATCCATCTATCCATTCATCATCCATCCATCCATCATCCACCCATCCACCCCAACATCCATCCATCCATCCATCCATCTATCCATTCATCATCCATCCATCATCCACCCATCCACCCCAGCATCCATCCATCCATCTATCCATTCATCATCCATACATCCATCATCCATCCATCCGTCCATCCATCCATCCATCATCCGTCCATCCATCCATCCATCCATCCATCCATCCGTCTTTTCACCATTTTTTCCCTCCTTCATCTGCCTGTCCCCTATCCACCCACATGGCCACACATTAGAACAGAGAAAAAATAAAGAGACCTCAACTGAGGAGGGCTGTGGAGGATGAAGGCCTAAGATGGTCCTTATGGCATGGACAACAACCAGTGTGCCCAACACAAAATGCCCAGCACAGGAAAAGGCACAGGAAGTCAGAAGAACTGTCAGTTCCGGAGGGTAGGTGGAGTCTGCTGCCAGGACTAGAGTTGCTCAAGCTTGACGGAAAGCTGTTCATTACTGGTCAGGGGTCTGCGGGTTGTCGTCAGTCTAATGCCCCATGCCCGCCTCCACCCTCACTAGCCACTCCCCCTTTCTACACTGGCTCAGCCTCTACTTTGTGGGTACATGGATCAGTCTTGGGCTCTGGCTAGGCAGACGGGGATACAGTTCCCGTGCAGCCCCCTGTGTCAGGCAGATCTAAGGGTAGCCTTGCACGGGAGTCTTTAGGACTGAGGCTATCTGGCTTATTGGATTCACTCAGACATAGTTGAGGTAAGAGGCTCATTAGAGGGCCAGTTGAGCCAAGCTCTAAAAGCCTCCCTCATTTGGAATTGTCCTGGGACAGCAGGGCAGGGTGTCTAGTCCTGGAGGTGTGCCAGCAGTAGGACCAGGACTCCCGACAGGGACTCCCCAGAAGTCCATAGAGGAGCCCCACCCCAGGATGGTAAGTGATGATGGCTCCCATCCACCGCCTACTTCCCCAAGCCTGTGCCTCCCTACTGAGTCACATCGGTCCTGACAACACCCATGAGCTGAAGCCGGAGGCTGAGTATAAATCCTCAAACATGAAACCAGGCAGGCTCCCAGCTCCTGAGGACTGAAGGATGGCCTTTCACTGGGCCATGTGGCTGCTGCTCTTGGCAGCCTGGAACATGGGCTCTGGTGAGTGGCTGGGAGTGAGAGTAACAGGGGGAGTATGTTGTGGGCCTCAGTTTACCCCATCTCCTAATGAGAGAGAGGTGCTGGGAGGCTTTATAGCCAAGGCATCCTCTGGACCCTTGGCGAGCCTCCTGCATTTTAGATCTCAGCTTTGTCCTGGGTTTCCAGGGAGGGTGGAAGACTTGGATGGTGGGCGTGGTGTTCAAGTCTGTCAGTCAGTCATCTGGGTCTTGAATCTCAGGAGGTCACTTTCACTCACATCTACCTGGCTCTGATATGAGTCCCTGGAGCTAGGTGGTGAGACTGTGCCTGCCCCCAACACTTGACAGGTGAAGCCTTCAGGTGCTATACCTGTGAGCAGCCCACAGCCATTAACGCCTGCAAGAACATTGCTCAGTGCAAGCTGGAGGACACAGCCTGCAAGACCGTACTGGAGACGGTGGAAGCGGGTAAGGCTGGCCTCAGGTAAGGGCTCGGGGTCCAGCTGGGCTCAGGGTTACCCCACCCCATGCTTCTTTTCATCCACCGTTGTCCTGTTCAGACTAGGAGGCGGAGGGGCAGGAATGGTGTGTGCAAGCGTGTGGGTGCATGCATGTAGACAGACAGCCCTTAAGCACCTCAGATAGTAGCGTGTGGGTAAGGGAGTGGGAAGGGCTGTGAGTGTTTGCTACTGAGGCTTGGGCTGGAGTCCCCACGCGGGACCTGGGAGCCCATATGCTCTGCAGATGTGCCACAGCTGAGGGTTGGGCGGATCTGGGGTGTGGGTTGCAGGGGTTTGAGAAGGCAGAATGATATGGACAGGGTTTGCAGAGAGACAGGAGCTGGAGTGGCTTCAGGCTCTGACATCCGCCCATCCCGCAGAGTTCCCCTTCAACCACAGTCCTATGGTGACCCGCTCCTGCTCCAGTTCCTGCCTGGCCACCGACCCTGACATCATTGGGGCTGCCCACCCTGTCTACTGTTGCTTCCGTGACCTCTGCAACTCAGGGGATCCAGGCTTGGTGGCAGGCCTCTAGCCACACAGGGAGCCTCATTCCTCTTTACCCTCCTGGCAGGGCCTGGTGCCTCCTGCCATCTCTGCCTGCACGGCTCTGTGAGCAGAGCTTGATGGGCCTCAGGTCACTCATGCGTTTCCCCCAAGCTGTGGAAAATAAAATAAGCCAAGGGTGAGGGGGCTCCTGTCCTTGCTGGGCACTGGGAATGCAAAGAGCTCGCCGGCAGGGAAGACAGGCTGTGTTCTGGCATGTTCCAGGCTCCTGACCCTCATTCGTATCTCCAGATGAAGAGACATAAACCTAGAGGGAGAAAGTCCTCTGGGTCACCCTTTCTGCAAACTAGCCCATCTCAGTCCAGGGCAGGTTCCTCAGCCCAGGAAGCCCTCCCCTAATAGTCCCCCACCCCCGGAACCCTGAACATCACCCTGTCTCAGAAAGGAAGCTTGAAGTTGGGGTTCCATTGCTTCCAGGAATTTGTGGTCTGCCCAAATCTGCCAGGAACACAACAGGGGGGCTAGAGCCAGGCAGATGCTCAGCAGCCTCTACACTAGTCTTCTTGGGGTGCCCATCTCCAAAACTCTGTCACACACACCCTGCTGCCTCTTTTAATGGCCTGCGCACTCCTTGAGACAGCTGGGAAATCAAATGTAACCAGTGTTTACTCCAGACCCAATGCCATGTTGGGCCCAGAGCAGTCCCAGAGGCCGTGGTCAGGGCTTCTCCTGGGGATGGAGGGTGGAGGGGACAGTACGCACTTGGGGGCTGACTCCCCAGCCAGGAGCTCATGCTTCTTAGGACCCAAGAGGCCCTGTCTTGCGGCTCTGCCATCTGTGACGCAGAAGGCAGCTGTGGGGCCTCAATGACCCCAGGCACCAAAGCTGCGTCCCTGAGCACTTCCTGGGTTCTCCAGCTAAGGGGGCCATGGCCCTGGAGTCCCTTTGGCAACCAGAACTGGGTTGAGCCCTGTGAAGAAGGTAGCAGACTGTCCAACAGACAGCAAGCACAGAGGAGAGTAGCTAGGACATGGCAGGGTCCCCAGGCCCCCTGAGAGATATGTGGAGCACTTTTCCCCTCACACTCTATGCTGCCAACCTGGCTCCCTAAGTCACCAGCTAACACCAGTTCTTTTCTTGGATTTTTTGAGACAGGGTTTCTCTGTGTAACAGCCCTAGGTGTCCTGGAACTAGCTCTGTAGCCCAGGCTGGCCTCGAACTCCGAGGTCCCCCTGCCTCTGCTTCCCGAGTGCTGGGATTAAAGGCGTGCGCCACCACCACCCAGCTTCTAACACCATTTCTAGGGCTAACTCCACACCTGCAGTGCCCCCAGCGGAGCAATTTGCCTGCATGGCAGCTTAATTTCAGAGAGCCTCGCTGAGCTTTGCCTTTGGAGTCAGGCCAGCTATCTGTTCACTGTGGAAACTGGGCAGAAGTCACCCCCTGGTGGAACAGCTGGGGTACTGCCTCAACCCTCTTCAGAGACACAGAGGTAGGAACCATCAAGTCTAACCTTAGTCCTGGGTCCACAGGGAAGCAGGAAAGCTAAGGCTTGGCACCTGAGGTGGCAGCTTGCTGAGCCACAAGCTCGGCTAAGCTACCTGGTCCCTGGTGACAACAGAGGACTGCAACAGCCCTTGCCATGAGGTTGACCCTGGAGCTAACGACGTATGTACGCATCCGGATGAATGACTACACATCCAAGTCATTAAGCAGGGAACACTGAGATCAGGCCATGTGCCCCTCCAGCCCTGCAGGCAGAGACACAGAAGCCCCACCTGTCTCCTACCGACTCCTGTCTGGAGTCCCAGTGGGAGTCTAACAGTGCTCAAGAGACTGCGGTGGTCAAGGCGCACCTCCTCCCAAGGACCCTTGTGGCTGGGACTGCCCTTGGCCCTTTCCTCTCTGCCCATCCCCTGCCCTCTACTCTACTAAGCCCTGAAAGGGCAAAGCCCTTCTCCCAGAGCCCCTGAAATTAAGACAAGGAGTAGCCACCCATGTGCCTACAGGTTCAGGGCCAGGGGTGGCAAAGGCAGGCAGAGGTACGGGACAGGTCTTCCCAGCTGTATGCTACCAGCACAACCTCTCCACCCCTTCCCCATCGCTGAGTGATTACTTAAAACTAACCCACTCCTATTGAGACCCTCAGGCCGCTGGTCTGTGTTGGGGAAAGCACAAACCTAACCCCTTGCCCACCCCCATAAACCATCTCACCCTGCCCACAAAGGGCAAGAGCCCAGTGCTGCCTACACCCTGCTTTCCTGCAACTCTAAAGAAGGAAACAGAAAAGTTGGGCCCAGACCTGTGGCTACAGGCTGCAAAGTTCAAAGGCTGGGGGAGGGGATGAGGTTGGAAGGCTATCCAGGACTCCAACCTGCCCACTCCATCCCATGACTCACCAGGCTTAGCCCGGCATTCAGAGGCACCCTATGCCATCCAGGGAGAGGATAGGCTTGTGCAGGGGCGTCCAGAAGACGCATCCAGGGAGAGGATAGGCTTGTGCAGGGGTGGCAAGGCTGCAGAAAGGAGAGCCTCCCCGGCACACACGTCTTTAAAGCCTTTAATCTTGTGCTTTCTTTAAATAACACAGACTGCAGCTTCCCCTCGGTAGCGCTAAGGCAAGCACAGTAGCGTGGGGGGTGGGGGCACGGGGGTGCAAGTGAGGGTCAGGGCGTCACTGAAGCTCTTGGCTCTGGCTCCGGGTATGGCTCCCGGAGAGGTAGCAAGGAGGCAGCGCCTAGCGTCAAGCAGCTGTCCCTTCCCCTGAGCTGACAGGGCAGGTGCTCGGCATAGCCATAGGACCCCCCCTACACCAGGACTCCTGGCCTCGATGGCCTGGCTAGACAGGGCACATCCTCTTAGAGTGGTGGGCATCATCAGAATCTTGGCCAGGGACCAGCTTCCATTTGCCCTTCTGTGTTCTAAGGGGCCCCTGGGCTGGTCCAGGCCTATCTTCCCTGCTATAGGGTGACCCTCAAGAGGGCCGCTATCCCTGAGTAAGGTGCAGACCCCAGCCACACCCAGGACTACTCTGGCCTGCCTGGCCACTAACAGTCCTGACTTTAGGCTCTGTGCTGGCCCCTCTGCTCCAGGACCCTGCTCATCTGGACAGACTAGAACAGTCATGCTGTAGGGACCCAGGGGACAAAGCTGGGCCAGGACAACATCGTCCACCCCAACAGATGCCCAAGATGAGGTCAGCACAGAGGAGTGTCAGGCGGGTGAAAGGTGCCAGGTATGTCCGGGGCACTCCAGCTAGGAATGCAGCCCAGGTGGCCCACTCTGTAGAATGGACTGGCTGACAGGCAGTGCAGGGAGGGCGCAGGTGTGGTAGTCACTGGTCCTTTCTGGTGTCACTGAGCCCACTCTCAGCACGGAGCTGCTGGCTGCTGGTCTCATTGTAGGCGATCCAATGCTTCAAGTCTTCCGGCAGCTCAGGGGGTTCCACCTGCAGGGGGACAGGAAGTTAAGGCTCCAGAGAGCCACAGGGGCAACCAGCCAGGCCCTCCTGCCTCTGGGCCTCAGCTTACATCACGGTCTAGCCTGTGACCTTGCAGGAACCTCGCCCCATATGACAGCTGCCCAGGACCTCCCCAAGTCCCTCCAACCTATTTTCTCCTTCCTAGATCTTTCTATCTCATCTACTTTGGCTAGGCCTCAGCAGCAGGGCCATGCTGAAGGCCTGTGTCCAAAACCAGGCAAAAGCCTGTGAGGCCGACTGGAAAAGCAGGATGAGGAGCAGGGCGCGGGGAGGTACTCCTCGTGGGAGGCTAGGAGACAAGGCTGCTTCCTGTGAGTGCTTGCAGATGGGTTCTGAGGACTGAGGGGTGAGGGCAGAGGCTGAGCAAAGGCTCTTACCTCTCTCACGGTGAGTGCCACACAGCAGTGGAAATTGCTGACCCAAAGCCTGGGTCCCTTCTGGGTGCCATCTGCCATCAATTTGTAGTTGGTGCTACTTCTTCCTAGCACGTGGCCCTAGACTAGCCCCTCAGATTCCAGGACCCAACCTCAGCCTCGGCCTCTCTTGAACCCTATCTGCCTCTCCCTGGGACCCAGCTCAACCCAAGACGCAGTCCAGTAACCAGGGAAACTCCCAGGCCTCCAGCTGAGGTGGGAGGCCTGCCGGCAGGCTGGCTCCACCTCCTCCACTCTGCAACTGATGGCTGGGACAGCACCCCTGGTCCCCTCACATGCACCCATCAGTACCAACCAGCCCCGAGGAGCTCATGACTCAACAAAGACAGAAAGCCAGGGAGCCTCTACCACCAACCGCCGTGCAGCCCGGGTGAAGGAAGAGGCAGGGTTAGGGTCTGTGTTCCCCTTAGACACAGCTCCTAGGCACTGGTGTCAGGTCGTTTCCGTGCTCTAGAGGAGGCACCTGCCCTAGGCAGACAGGGTGGGGCCTGCCCTGGCATCCATCTCTACCCTGGCTGTCTCCACGGTCACAGTTGCCACACTGAAGGAGCTGGCTCTGCCACCAAGCTGGAGGAGTGGGCCCTGGGGGAGAACCTTGGGTCCCAGAAGGCATAGGGCTCTCCTCCCTCTAACCTTGGAAAGACACAAGGCTTGTAGTCTCTTGGGGTCAATTCAACCGCAGGCTTCTCAGCTGCAAGTTGTGCTAACGAGGGTCTCGGGCCCACTGGAATTCCCAGCAACTGCTTCTAACTGACCATACTGTTATCCCATGCTCAAAAAGAGGCGCCTGTCAAGAGACCAGAGAGGGTGACTCAGCACTCTAGACCACACAGAAGTAGGACTTGGACTCCAAGTAAAGAAACACGGTCTGAGCATCTCATATGGGAGAAGAAACCCTGAGGTGGGGGAGGGGGAGGCTCAAAAAAATGGCTAAGCCTGACAGTACAGTTTTAATTCATAGATGGTGGGGATCCCAAGAGGGGTATCAGCATGGACCCAGAGGAAAAGTGCAAACGTGTTCCGATACAAGGACCGGTCCCAGAACTTCAAAGAGGTCTTCCTCGTGGGAGGAGGCCGGGGATTGCACAGGACAGGGATATCGGGGTGGGGCTGCTCACCCTGCGCTTGCACAAGTGCTGTACTACGAGATCCGGCGAGGTGCCCAGCACATGCTGCCGGAAGCGCAGCAAGGCGCACAAGAAACCGTCGCGAAGGCTGACAAAGCGCGCCTCCAGGTAGAAGGCGCGGTCGTCCCAGCCTAGGAGGCGGGTGCGCACCTCGAACGGCTCAAACAGGCGCAGCGAGCGTCGATAGCGCGCGCACGAGGCGGCCAGCACGGTGTGAGCGCTCAGGTCGCGCAGCGCTCCCAGCACACCGCAGCGGGTCAGGTGCGCTGCGCGCGCCACGTCGGCCTCACGCAGGTAGCGCGCGTTGTTCATGTGCAGCAGCAGGTCTAGATCCGAGGGCAGCACCCGGCCCACGTACCGCTGCTCCGCCAACAAGTCGCGGACGCGCGGCTGCAGCAGACGTGCGCGCAGAACAGCACACGGTACGCGTACCAGGTACCAGCCATCCAGCAGCGCGAAGAAGGCGAGCGCCAGGGCTAAGGACGCCACCAGCAGCCCCAGCATCTTGGCAGCGGGCGCCCGGTGCCCAGGAGCCCGGTGAGCAGGTGCTTGCCGCTGGCCAGCCTAGGAGCCTAGGAGCTCCAGGAACCGCTCGGAGCGCACCACCTCTTCCAGCAATCGGGGGGGGGAGTGCTCCGGAGGCAGTAGCGTCGCGCTCGAGTCACGCACACGCCCGGTCATATCCCACCCCCCGCGCGCCCTTGTTGGTGTGTTCCGCTCCTCCGCCAGAGTCGCTTTCGCTTTTCCCGGGGCGGGGCGCGGCGGGAACGCGCGGGGCAGTACAGCGCCACCTGGCCGTTGCGCTGGGCGTTGAGGAGGCAGGGGCGACAGGGAAACCTGCTCCCTGCAGTGATCCAGTGGGTTCAGATGAGCATAACCAAAGATTTCCAGAACTTCCCTGGAGCAGCTGAGGAACTTTACAAGGAAAACGGACAACCCTTCGCTATAGATGCTGCTTCTGTGAGGCTGCCCGTGACTCACAAGCCTGTCCAGGCATCCCTCTTCCGCAAAGCCCCCGTGCATTCGTGATTCGCTGTGGTTTAGAGAGAATTAGATCCCGTCTCTCCGGGGTGTCTTTCAGCCCCAGTCTGCCACATTACTTGTCCCCAAGTACTCATCACCTGTTCGCAAAAAACCTCGGTCACCCTAAGCTCACCCCAATAATTCCCACCTTTTACCTCTTTTAATGCAAATAACATCCAAGATGGAGGAGAAGTGGGGTGAATACAGACTTATCAACTAAGCTAAAGAACCCTGCCATGGTTTGTGGAATGCCAGCCCCTTTCCCGTAGGGTAGGGGAAGGTTTTGAGGTCGGGCCGGCTCTCTTGGATAGCCTCCTGGACTTTGATAATCCTGTGTGCAAAGGATGCCTAAGGATGGGTGGACTGCTGAGCTCCAGATGCCCGGGGCAGCATTACTCCAACTGTCCCATACCGGGCTGGGTGGGTTTGCTGTGGTCTCTGTCCAGAGCGAAGTTGTTTTCTTTTTCGGTTTTGCTTCTGAGGACACAAGGCACGGCACAGCGAATGCCCGGGGTCGTCTGGGACACTCGGAAAGGTAAGGAACTCTGCCAATCAGGGTAGCTCCAAATGACCAGAAGAACTTATCCCACACATTGCTTCTGCTTGAAACACCCACCTGTTTTGGTCTGCACTCTGGCTGGGGAGGGGCAGCCTCTGAGGAGGAAGAGACTAAGAAATGCTCTTTAGTCCATTGTTTAGAGAATGGGCCTTCTGTCACTTACTCTGCCCATCATGTCTCACGGCTCCGGCAGCAGGTAACCAGGCCTTTGTTTGACACAGGAAAAGATGCCAATGAGCTCCCATCCTCCAGGCCTCCCCTGCTCCCGCCACCCCTGCTCCGCTTTAGGCCTCTCTGCTGGATGCTCTCCACACACTGCTCACCCTGCTTCATTTCTCTCCCTTTCCCTAGCCTAGACCACATTGCCAGGGGCCCCTCGAAGGGATCTGAGCGCAGCTCACTGGAGTCTCATGCATAAAGTAATGCTTGTCTATCTCACAGCTGAACTCTGGCTACAGGAGGGCCTGATCGCCCTAACTCACCTTGGTGTCTACAGGATTGCTCGATAGGCCTCTTTCCCTGCCAGCACTAGGCGAGTAAGACAGCTGGGTACAGAAGCTTCACTCGGGAACTTTGGCTCTTCGAGGGCTCCTGTGTTTGCCCTAGAGCCCGGCGTCACCCCCAGAGGCAGTCGCCAACCGTTTTGGCCACCAAGGGGGAACACAAGGCAGGGCAGCCCCATCAGGATGACTTGTCCTAGACCTCGCCCCGCCCATCCTCCCCTGGCCCTGCCCTGCTGGATGAGCAGAGCTATACTGGAGGCACCTAGGGAGTTAGACGCCCATGACAGGTCATTAGTTTGGTCTCGGCACCCAAGGGTGCCCTCTACTCCTGGGGGAAGCTTCTGCCTCCCTCTCTCTAGCTCTAATACTTCGTTGCAGAGAAGTCTCCAGGGTAGGGTGAGAAGGCCCTTTGTCCCTCTGCCCCTGGGTACCTTGGCCTGCAGGACCTTTTGGCCACCAACCATAGGGAGAAAGAGACTCGGATAAGGGACTGCTGATGCCTGGTCCCTGTGGGTGAGTCTACCCAGCGAGGATGGCCGTTCTGCAAGAGCCAGCTCTGGCATTCTGTGCCCTTTGTTCTCCCAGCTGTGTTAAGAGAACAAATACTTCCCTGTTTCTCTTAATTATCTAAGACTGCTGTCCTGCAGGCTCCATGCTGGGGCGGGGGTGTCCAGAAGTGCCAAGGAGAACCCAGCCAAGCCTAGGTAACTGCTGGATGTTGGATGCCAGGAACAGCCCTCAGGACCAAGCAGACACCCTGTAACTGCTGAGCAGATGGAGCCAGAGTCCTGCAAACTGTGCCTTGTCCTCCACTATCTCCAGGGAAGACAGCAAGCCTCAACCAGAAGGTCCCCAAGACTGTGCTGCCAGGAGTACCACTGTGAGCATCACCCCGTTGTGGTTGCTCTTGGCCGCTAATCCCGCACCATGTTCCTAGTAAATGAAAGACCAGATCTTTGGCGTCCTCCTGAAACACAGGGCCTTCTAGAGCCCGGACTCAGCTCGGGATGCCCACTTATCCCAGGGTTGAGAGGGATACCTCCTGCTTGAGGTCACACACACAGGCTGAGGGCACCAGCTTTGAAGAGAGCCCTGGAGCCTCTGGTCAGGCTAACCCTCAGCATGACCCCTGTCCCACTGGCCCCTGCACGCCCACTGCCACCACTGAACAGGTTCTGATGCCCGGCTCGTACACACCTAGGTCCTTCCCTGGTCCCCTGTGTGGGCACCCAAAGCCCACAGCCTGTGCTGTTGCTCACTATTTAGGAGTTTAAAGCTTTGTTAAATAGCTGCAATCCCTGAGAGAGGGGTGTGAGGCCCCAGTGACTGGTCACACATGGAAAAAGCTCTGCTGGGCACAGGGTGGAGGGAGGTTCAGAGCAATGCATCCTTAACCTCCTCACGCTATCTCAACGCTGGCGTGTGGGGGCATCAGCTGTAGAAACCGGTCCTCATGCAGATCCCCACCCAGGGTCCAGGCTATTCCCAGGTGTAAAGCAGCCTTCCTTCAAAAGGTTTTTCCCAGGAATGGCAGGGCATGGACCTGTCCTCCTGTAGACAGCCCCTCCCAAGCTTCTAATGGCATGGACACAGACTCAGCAATAGGAACTCGGGAGTGTGGCCTGGACACACTCCCGCATGGTGTGGGGTGGGGCAGCTGGCTGCCCACCCCAAGACTCGTGTGCTTGCATTTCTTATGTGCCTGAAGCTCGCAACTCTTAGAACAAAGGATTTTTGTTTTGCGACAGGGTCTTGCTATGCAGCTCTGGCTGGCCTGAAACTGCTGTGTAGATTTGCCTGTCTCTGCATCTCAAGCTCTGGGATTAAAGTGGGGGCCACCATGCAGAGCACAGCTAGAACAAAGTCTCTTGTGGCAGACTTGCTGAAGTTGGAGGGAGCTGTGGAGCACCCTCCTTCCCAGGGCCTCCTCTTATCCATGGAAACTTGGGGCTTCCTTCCACTGGGAGGAGAACAGAGGAACACAAGGGACTCTGAGAAGCTTGGCAGTGTGCCCGAGTCTATGCAGCAAGGGCGGGTGTCCTGAGATACGCAGTACTAACCTGCCAGGGGCCACCTCTGCGTTCCTACCAAGTCCAGTCCTCTAACCCCTACGGTCAACGGCGTGCCCATGGCCCTTGATGGACATTGCCCAGGTGGAGGCCAGGCTCATCCAGGGGCTGCTTAAGGACAAAAGCTCTCTCCAACTTACCCAACAGGAATTTATTACAGGCCTACTGTGTTCTGGGGGCTCTATAAACATAGGGCAGGTCCCCCCGCCGGGCTCATCTCCTAGGACTCCAGGAGCTCACCCCCACCTCCCAGCTTCATTTCTGCCCAGTCTGCCTCCTCTCATCCTTCACCGGGCCCTTCCCAAGTGCTGTGTGCAGATCGGCTCAGCTCCCAGAGAGCCGGGAGGTGCAGGGAGCCCTGCAGGGGGGGGGGCTGCTGCAGAAACACAGCCAGCAGAGAGGAGGGAGCACCAGGAGGGGCAGGGCAAAGGCCGGCCCCGTGTGGGTGTCGGGAGTTGTGGTGGGGGCACCCCTGCACAGTAGAGACTCTCCTAGAGCCTATAGGTGCCCGGCGCCCCACAGCAACAGGCTGCAGAGCACAGTGAGCAGCCCCAGGGTGGTGGCGGCCGGCTTCAGGGTGTGGGCGCCACTGACATTGCACAGATCGGAGTAGCAGCACGTGATGTTCTTCTTGCCCACGTAGTAGTTCTCGGCGTCATCCACGCAGTTTGAGCTGCAGCCTTTACTGATAAGTGTCACAAGTCCAATGGCCCCTGGGAAGGCAGAGTGACGGCTTAGGGTAAAGCCAGGCCTTGATACTCACCTCCTTGCCCCTGCCTCAGGGCCCCTTCCTGAGCATGCTAAAAGCTCTAGACCCACTCCACTGAGTCCCAGAAATGTTCGTTAATGAGTAAGCAGGGGGAGGACAGGGTGCCGGTGGGAAGGTGGAGATGAGTTTTGGGATGGCTGAGCAGGAATGTGCAGGTATATGGATAGGTGGACAGATGGACAGAAGAACTGAGGTCTCGATACTGTTGCTTAGCTGGAGAGGGAAGGGGCTGAAAACACAGGATAGTGAAACGGCTGGGCCGCAGGGCAGTGAGAACCGTGCTGGGTAGAGGCCGACTCACGGACACGTGACGTCCAGCAGCTGTTCTGGTCATGGCTGCAGTTCTGTACGTTTAGGCAGTCGCTGTTGCTCGCCTGTGCTGTGCATGAGTAGCACTGCAGAGCAGCACCTGCGGGAGAAGCAGGACATCGGAGGAGGCTGGCCAGCTGCGCCTCAAGAGAGCCGTGCACACACGCTCATCCCCACACAGAATGGAGAGACACATCTCAGTCCCCTCCGGACTGCTGAAGCGTAAGCCCAAAGACCTCCGACGCCCTACCCAGAGACTGTGCCAGCCTACCTCCTCTTGGTCACCCGGAGCCCCACGGTCTGTGCTGTTACTCATTATTGAGGAATTTAAAGCTTTATTAAATACCAATGGTTCCTGAGAGATGGGTAAAAGGCCCTAGTGGCTGGTCACACCTGGAAAAAGCCCCTCTGGGCCCTAGGCTGGGAGGAGGTGCTGAGAGACGCTTCCTTAACTTCCCCATGCTACTCAGCACCTAGGTCCACCTGTCTTTGTTCCCTGAGCCCAGCTTGCCTCTCAGCCCCTCCTGGATGTCCTCAATGCTGTGCAGCAATGGTAGGACCCCCGGGCCTACCCTGCTGTGTGTCTGGGGCAAGTGGCCCCAGATGTCAGGTGTGTTGGTAGTCCTCTCTCTTCAAAAATGACAAAGCTGGGTTCAAGTCACACCTGTAGGAGCAGAGGCTAAACACCTGACTTCAGTGCCTACAAACTTTGCCCTGCTTAGGTCTCCAGTGACCTTAGGGACACTTTTGGCTGTGTTTTGTTTCGTTTTGTTTTCTTTCCTGGAAGAGGAAGCTGAGGCTTTGAGAGTAGTATGGTGACCTTCCTGGGGTCACTTGGTGGGGGGCCCAGCATGCTAGATCACCACAGACTGCTCACACCAGTAGACTTTCACACTGGAGGCAAAGGTAGCCAGGACGGATCCTTGATTTTCCTCTCAAGACATCCCGAGTAAGCCAGGCAATGGTGGCGCACACCTGTAATCCCAGCACTCGGGAGGCCAGGCTGGACTACAAAGTGAGTTCCAGAACAGCCAGAGCTACACAGAGAAACCCTGTCTCAAAAACCAAAACAAAACAAGAGAGACAGAGAGAGACAGAGTGACAGAGAGAGAGAGACAGAGAGAGAGAGACAGAGTGACAGAGAGAGAGACAGAGAGAGAGAGAGGCAGACAGACAGAGACAGAGAGAGAGACAGAAAGAGAGACAGAGAGAGACACAGAGAGACACAGAGATACAGAGAGACAGAGAGACAGAGAGAGACACAGAGAGAGACAGATAGAGAGACAGAGAGAGAGACAGAGAGACAGAGACAGAGTGACAGAGAGAGAGACAGAGAGAGAGAGGCAGATAGACAGAGACAGAGAGACACAGAGAGAGACACAGAGAGAGATACAGAGAGACAGAGAGAGAGACAGAGAGAGACAGAGACAGAGAGAGACAGACAGAGAGAGAGACAGAGAGAGAGACAGAGAGAGACAGACAGAGTGACAGAGAGAGAGAGAGACAGAGAGACAGAGTGACAGAGAGACAGAGACAGAGAGAGACAGAAAGAGAGACAGAGAGAGAGACAGAGTGACAGAGAGAGAGAGAGACAGACAGAGACAGAGAGAGACAGAAAGAGAGACAGAGAGACAGAGAGACACAGAGAGAGAGACAGAGAGAGAGAGAGAGAGACACAGAGAGAGACAGAGTGACAGAGAGACAGAGACAGAGACAGAGAGACAGAGAGAGAGACAGAGACAGACAGAGAGACAGAGAGAGACACAGAGAGAGAGACAGAGAGAGAGACAGAGAGAGACACACAGAGAGAGACACACAGAGACAGAGAGACAGAGAGAAACAGAGAGAGAGACAGAGAGAGAGAGAGACATCCTAAGTGCCCTTTCCTGCTCCATTCCTCCCTCCTTGTGTCTGTGACAATCCTCAGCTTGAGACTTTTGGTCCCTGGGCTTCCCTGACTAAGGGCCCTGTGCGTCTGCCCCTCGGTGGCCTTTCTGACCTTAGCCGGTCTCTCACACGACAATAGTGAGGGTCCTCTCTGCAGAGCCGATCTGGCTTCCTTGCTCCTCTCTCCCCTGCCCTCCCTCCATCCGCCCCTCTGACATTTCTTCTTCACCCTTCCCTAGCTCTGCCCCATGGCTGTCTGAAGCTTACCTGGCTGCAGGGCCAAGTAGGTGGCCAACAGGACAAAGAGGACAGCCTTCATGGTCGCAGTGGGCAGCTGGGAGTGTGCCTCCAAAGACTTTATATGGCTTCCGCTGGTAGGGGAGGCTCTGCTCTCCTCAGTCAACAGTGCGGGGGTTCCCTGGAGCCAGTGAGAGCCCAGAGCCCAGCCCATTCCAATCTGATCTCGCATACCACCCCTCCCACTGCCTTTGTCGTTCTTTCTGGTGCTGGAGGGCAAGGCCTATCCAGGGTGGGGCCACTGTCATTGCTGGAAGACCTTTCTAGCCACCCACAGAACAAGGGCTGGAAGTCCTAAGACACCCACAGTGTCAACCCTTCTCCCAGGAGTAAGGCCAGTTCTGAAACATGACTTCCTCTACCCCCCAAGTCATTTGGACAAGGACAAAGATGCACCCATTGGACCCCAGTGCTCAGCACCAAAGCTGTGTAGCCTTCCTGGGGCCCATGCCCCCTGAGAAAACAGGCCAGGGTTGAGGGGCAACACACATAGTAGCAGTTCACTGCCACAAATGACAATGACTAGCTACTAGGAGCTGTGACTAGATAGGGGCTTTCCTGGGATTGTCTTTCTTGGGTAGGGGACCTAAGAACCGGTGAGGAGTTTGGACAGCCTTAAGAGCACATCCTAGAGCATTAGAGTGTGCCAGGCACTGGACTAAGGCATCTATCTTCAGGACTTGTTATCCTCCAGCTTGGAACTTTAGCTTCAAGAGATTCAGGAAGCACAGCTCCCAGGTCACCACTTGATATGCTCTGCTGTCCCCAGGCCCACCTTGCACACTGCTCTGTGGTCTGGGAGGCACACAGCCTACAAAGCAGGGAGGGCAGAGGGCAGACCATCGCTCCCTGGGCAGCCTCCTGCCGGGTTGTGGTGGCAGTGGCTGTCTCTCTTTAGCAGAGGCCACAGATCTTGTGGGTCAGTCTTCCCCAATCAACTGTGATCATAGTTTCCTTCGGATCTGGGGTCCATTGCTCCCTACTGCTATTGGCTTTGGGGGGATTCATAGTCTTTGTTGCTCGTCTCCACGGGAGGCTCACCTACATTCACCATCCTTCCGCCGGGCTCTCTTGATAATCTTGCTGGGCACACTGTTGCCTTGGCCAGATGCAAGTGGTCAGAAATGCTGGCCATGGTCACATCCACTTGCCCACAACCAGGGATGGTAGTCTCTGATGTTCTCTTGCTCCTGCTGATAGATCCCTGACTACTCCTTCACCCTAAATGTTCCCTGGAAACATCCTGGCATTTAAGGCATGAGCGAGAGTTAAGTATTCCCCTCTAGCCTCGAGGAACCACGCCATGCCCCAGCAATGCCAGGACCAGCAACCACAGATGGGCTCTTCTTGCAACCCCAGGCCCTCTGTGCTCTCACCTGCCCGACTCTCTAGCACTCCTGGGCTGGCCTCTTTTCCCGGGAAATTCTCTCCTTTGGCAGTAAAGAGCCCATGGCTCAGAGAGAGGCAAGATCCTGCTCAAGGTCCCACAGGGTGACAGTGCCCCTCTGGCTGTTTCCCTGCTCTCTGCCCACCTAGAACTTCCTCTTGGAACACCCCCTCCTGCCACAGGCCTCCCGGTCCAGGGAGTGCTGGAAGTGCCCACAGCTTGGCTGTGTTCATGTATGCATGGCTGTCTCCCTGCTCTCACCCACCAGGGTGGCTGCCCCTGGAGAGACCTTGCTTATCTGTCTTGGCACTGGAGGCACCGGCACCCAGCACCAGCTAGAACAGTCATTCCCCAAATATTTACAGGTGTGTAAATGTTTGTCGATCATGCTTGATATGAAATGAATATTCTAAAGGCAATGGGTCTTTACTGGAGCAAGCCTCCTCTCCCCATATGAATGCCTAGAGGCAGTTCTGTTGGCTCAGCCCGGGGGTACTGGATGATAAAGTGGGCACGGACCAATATCTGCTCAACACCCACAGTACCAGAACCTTGCAGAACCACTGGGCCCCACACACCAGTGGTGCCCAGAGCGGGAGCTTTGGCCAAAGGGTGGCCTAATGGACTCACCTCATCGCAAATACTGAAGACTATGACTACTGTTTTCCTACAGCCCCACCTCTCACCTTAGGTTTAAATCTGGCCACAGCCTAACACTGAACACTCAGTCTGGTGACCCTAGTCCCCAAATATGGCAATATCACGGTCACACCCTGAGTCCTGGCTGTGTTCAGGCGTGAGTTTGATCATGACGGTGTGCTAAGCCCTGACCCTGATCACACTTTGAGTCTTGGTCCTCGATACACACTGAGCCCTGATCCTGGTCACTCTAGCTAATCCTGGAAGCACATTGAGCTCCGCTCCTGCTCCCACAGTGATCCCGACTCTAGTTTGCAAGCTGATCTTTGACCCTGCCCACACACTGAGTCTTGATCCTGGTCACTCCAGCCACATATAGAGTAGTTGGCTCTACTCGCACACTGAGCCCTGGTGCTGCTCATACGCTGGGTCTGATTATGGATACAGTATGAGACCTGATCTCAGTCACACATTTAGCTCTAACTTAGTCACTGGCTAACCCCTGACCCCTTGCCCTTTATGCTTAGGACATGCACCGAATGCAACCTTGTAGCTGAACTAAGCATGGTGATACACCTCGTGGTACACTTCCTGAAAAAGCCTACCACAAAGGCCTCCTCCCTCCAAGTCTCTCCAGGAGTGAATGTGGTCTGGGTGTGACCTTGCCGTGACTCACCCTTAGCCTGGCTCCACCAGCTGAGTCTCTAGTTTTTCTTGTTCTCTCTTTTCCTCCGTTTCCCACCACAGCCCCTTCCACTCCCTGGAGAGTCTGCCTGTTCACATAGCAAAGAAGCCACTGTTCTTTGGGTGTGAACTCTCAAAACTATGCCTTCCCATTTCACACCCTACCTCTTCCTAGGGACCGTCACAGGGCCTCTGCTTGTACACAAATCACAGTTGGGTGGAACTGTAATTTTGTGCGTAGATGGCTTTTAAAACTGATTTCTGTTTACGCCACTGCAGGTCTTTGGAAGCGTGGTCCCTTGGGTCAGGGGTATGACATGTGCAGCCAGGCCTCAAGGAAGCTGGATATCATCTCCCACTAAGGTCCCCATATTGAGTCCTGGACGTCAAAGTCACTCGTTGCAAGCTGTGTGTGTGACACGTTGATAAGGTGGCGTAGGAACCTGTGCATGTGAAAGCATGTGGATACGGTGTTGTGTATTGTGTACAGCATTGTGTGTTGAGTGTGAGCAAATATGAGTATGAGGGCACTGCCCTGGACCCTTTGGACAGTGCACTGGGGCCCTCAAACTCCACAGGCCCTGCTGCATCCTGGGACGTGTCCTGGTTTTAATCTCCATGGTCCCTGCTTACGCAGAGGTGATTATTTTCCCCAGATTCATGAATCTGTCTACATCACCCCCTTCCCAGGGCTCCCAACGTCACCAGAGAGCCTTCTGCTTTAAATCTGTTAGATCTGCCTCTGTCTTTTCCTTTTTCTTCACATGCCCACTCCTCCTTGGAGGCGAGTCGGAGAGACAGGGAGGCCCGAGAAACCCTGTAAGGAGGAAGGGCATGCTGGTGATTTCTTCACCTGAGTAACAGGCACACTTGCAGTCCAGGCCTCCTCCAGGCAAAGGCTTGCAGGTAGAGGGACCAGTCTTGCAGGATGATCCAGGAACTTGGAGATGGCTGAGGTAAGCTAGACGGTGATAAGTGGTCTGCGCAGGTCTGGCAGGCCAGGAGACTGCAGTAGCACACGTGTCATCTCAAGGCCTTAACTCTAAGGGGACCTCTTAGTGCCAGGTCCAAGGGGACATCAGTCTTCCTCTCTTTCCTACCGCTTCCCCACAGCTAAAGGAAACCCAGGCTTTGAGATGACCGATAAGACCAAATGTCCTGGAGTCATGCGCCAGGCTCACTTCCTTGCCAAGCCCTACCACTAGGGAAGTGTGTGACCCCAGGTTCATAAGGCAGCAGCAGAGAGAGAGTCACACTCAGGAGCAGAGCCAGCCATCCTGGGGAGTCCAGAAAAATGCCAGAAAGACTTCTTGGGGTCCTGGGTTCCAGTTATACACCATGCCTGGTATCTTCTGTGACTCAGTTTCCTTCTGCGCTCCTCACATTTGATTCTCTCATTCAATTCACGATCCAGAGCCATATGCTGCAAAACAGTAGCTGTTCCAAGCCATTGTTTCAGGACAGCTCAGAGTACAGCAGCAGCAGCTGACAATGAGAGAGGAACAAAACAACAGGACCAAGGAGGAGGCAATGGATGGCCAGGGCATGGACCCCACGTCAGGCGGATGGGGGAGAGGGGAAATCCAAAGGATGGGCTCTGGGAGCAGGGCTGATCAGAACTGGTCCACTGGGTGTGAGGGAGAGTTCAGAGTGACCCTCAGTGAACGGGAAGGCAGGACTGACTGCCAGGAATCACGGCAGCAGTTTGGGGTGGGGGAGCCAGGCTGCTCAGGAGGCACCTGACCTCCATTTCAGAAACACGGTGTGTGTGGTGCATGTGGACAGCTACGTTCAGGTGCTGGGCAAAAGACAGACGTTTGGACATCAGGGACGATATTCTGGAAGGAGACATGGCTTTGGGAGCCACCCAGCCTCCAGTGGCATTAGAACGCTAGTACTGGATGAAGATCCCTAGGGGGTGAGAAAGGAGAGAGCCAAGGATCCAACAAGAGACGGTGGGGAGGCGAAGGCAGAGGATTCTGGGTGCTCGGGCAAGAGTGTGAGCAAGTTTCCATAGTCTGCGTTTCAACGGCACTGTGACAGATCACCCCAGTGTAGAGGCCTGGAACAACGCAATTCCCTTTTCTCACGCTTCTGCGGGCCAGGTAATGAGATCAGAGTGACACCAGGGTTGTATTCCAAGAGAGAATGTTTCCTGGCCTTCTGGAGCTCCCTAAGCCGCCTGCACTTCTTGTCTAGAAGCCTTCCTTCATCTTCAAAACCCAGGACCCAGCCTCTGTTGTGGCTTCACCGCAGTGACTTCTCTCATCGGATCCTTTAACAAACATTCAGGTATGGTTCACATGCAAAACAGATCATCTCATGTCAAGGTCTCCCAAAGCCTCCACGCTGCACTACGTTTCAAATCTCATCATCAAAATCGTCTAAACTGGGTACATTTTAACTCTAGTCAAAGGCTCCACAGGGATGGAAAGGGATCCTGGCAACCTGAGGGCCTTGGAAACCCCCCCCCACCACAAGGGGGCGCTGGACTTAGCCTCCAGTCCGTTCTCGTCCGGCCATGGCTCTCAGGACCGGACGCTCAGCCCGGGCTTCCGCTCCTCATGAACGCGCGGCTCTCACTGCCCTTCGTCGTTCTACCGGCTGGGGAGCTGCCAGGCTGGGGCTGCTCCCTTGCCCAGCCACGGTGTAGCGAGCTAGACACCACTGAGATAGAAGGCTCCAGGTGGCCTAGAGCGTCCCCGGAAGTGGCTCGGGGAAGGCCGCGAGGAGCGGACCGGTGGAGAGCTGCGTGTCTGGCATTTCCGGCCGGTAGTGGCGGCTTGGGGGGTCCACAGGTGAGTAGGGCCGGGCCGGGGCCGTCGCCGCCACGGCGAACTGGTTGGAGGCCGGGCCCACGTTCCCGCTCCGGAGCCGGACGCGCGTCGTCGTTTCTCCGCCCGGAGCGCCTGGGAATCGAGTCGCAGTCGGGACCGGCGGATGCCTTCTCAGGGGTCCTCCCCCGGGATCGGGTCCCCTCGGCTCCCGTGGGCTCCCCCAGCACGCAAACCGGGGGCAAGCTCGGTTGTTCCTCCCCTCCCAGGACCCTTCTTCATTTGTTGTCTGTGTCGTCCGTCAGGGCTGCAGCCCGATGACAGGTTGTTTCTTACACCTGCCCTCCAGATGCCCCAGGACCGACTCGGGGGAAAAATGCCTCTCCACTTAGGAGCTTACACTCCCGCCCCAAAAAATAGTTCTTTAAGCCCTTGTTCAAGTGGCACCGGGTTGTCGGTGCTCCCTGGAAGTCCCAAGGTTAGAAGCCTCCAGGATTTCTGCAGCCACGTGTAGGAGGTTCTAAGAGTGGTGCAAGATTCAGATTTTCCCTCTCTTCCTCATTTCCCTTTCTCCCTTCATAGATCTCACTGGGTAGCCCAGGCTGGCCCTCTCCTCAAAGCAGCTCTGCCTCAGTCTCCCAAATGGCAAGATGGCAGGTCTGAGCTACCATACTCAGCCTGGCGAAATCTCATTTCTGAAGTGGGTGTACTCAGCCACCCGAGCGTTCTCTACACATCTGCAGGGCAGGCACCAAGGGGGAGCATCGTGAGCTGAGCCTCCTCCAGGAGGCTTGTCTGCCCTCAGGTTGCTGCAGAGTTCCTCAGCTCCCTGGCTTGTTATTAAATATCCCCCCCCCCGCCGCCCGCCCCGGGAGTAGACTGTGGCCTTGATTTCCTTCCATTCCACAGTGAGGTGCGCTCAGCAAGGGCCCTTCCTGTGACTAGAATGGGAAGCCCTCAGGGACCAAGAGGCTGATTGAGGGGGGAGTAGCTGGCTGCTGACAAGCTGGCATTCTCCGTGTGACTTTGGAACTCTTGCACGTTGGAATAAATGTCTCTTACACTGTGGTCTTGGGTGCACTTTTGTGCAGCTCATGGAAGTAGCCTGTTCCTTCTGGCTCATCCAATGCTTGATTGGAAGAAACCACCCAGATAAAAGATGGCGGGAGGTGGGGAGAGAGGCTGAGGCATTATGATTCTTACCTTTTCTGGGCAGTTCTGAAGGTTGCTGGTCCTGCTTGTTCTGTGGCCTGCAAGGAAGGCCCAGTTAACAGACTGGATAGCAGAGCCCAGGCCTAATGGCACCGATGTGTGGGGTGATGCTTTCCAGCGACTCTAAGCCCATTTTGAGTTCTCAGTAGCCTTTCTCCTCTGCTTTCCAGTTCCGAAATGTATGGCTGAGACAACAGTGGATCCTGGTAAGAAGCATTCCCAGCTCAGAAACCCGGACACTGTTGAAGGGGAAAGCTGCCGCCCTTGCTGTCTGTGAAGGCCCAAGGCTCCAGCTACGCCCAGCAGTCCAGGGTAACTCAACTCTGTCCACCTCTCCTGAAGAGAACAGTAGCTGACCACACTCCTAGGACCTGAGGCCTAAGTGTGCTGGAGCCTCGGTGCTAAAGGGAAACTGAGGCAAGATGCCGCTGTAGGTAGACAGCAGAGCCCAGAACGAACCTGGCTTGAGCCTAGGGTCAGTCCTGTGTGAAGACAGACGAGAGGGAGGGGCTGGCCCGGGGAGCCAGAGGGAACCGTGGGAAGGGCAGGCACAGCCCCTCCTAGACCGCCTCCTCATGGCCTCCAAGCAGACGGCAGCCAAGGGCAAGGGGGAGAAGCGGAAGCGAGTGGTGCTGACCCTGAAGGAGAAGATTGACATCTGCAGTCGGCTAGAGCGTGGCGAGAGCAGGAAGGCACTGATGCAGGAGTATAATGTGGGCATGTCCACTCTGTATGACATCAAGGCCCACAAGGCCCAGCTGCTCAGCTTCTTTGCCAGCTCGGACTCTCGCCAAGCACTGGAGCAGCGGCGTACCCTGCACACACCCAAGCTGGAGCACCTGGACCGAGTGCTCTACGAGTGGTTCCTGGTGAAGCGTGCTGAGGGCATCCCTGTGTCGGGCCCCATGCTCATCGAGAAGGCCAAGGACTTCTACAAGCAGATGCGGCTGACAGAACCCTGTGTGTTCTCTGGAGGGTGGCTTTGGCGCTTCAAGGCCAGGCATGGCATTAAAAAGTTAGACGCCTCCAGCGAGAAGCAGGTGGCCGACCACCAAGCTGCTGAGCAGTTCTGTGGCTTTTTCAGGAACCTTGCAGCTGAGCATGGGCTGTCTCCCGAGCAGGTGTACAGCGCTGATGAGACTGGGCTGGTCTGGCGGTGCTTGCCAAACCCTACTCCGGATGATGCAACTGTGCCCCGCCTCAAACAAGCCAAGGACAGGCTGACTGTCCTAATGTGCGCCAATGCCACAGGCTCCCACAGACTCAAGCCCTTGGCCATTGGGAAAGGTGGTGGCCCCAGAGCCTTTAGAGGCATCCAGCACCTGCCTATCGCTTACAAGGCCCAGGGCAATGCCTGGGTAGACAAGGAGATTTTCTCAGACTGGTTCCATCATATTTTTGTCCCCTCAGTGAGAGAGCACTTCAGAACTATAGGCTTGCCTGAAGACAGCAAGGCAATTCTCTTGCTGGACCATTCCCGGGCCCACCCACAGGAGTCCGAGCTCGTGTCAGAGAATGTCTTCACCATCTTCCTGCCTGCCAATGTGACCTCCTTACTGCAGCCCACAGAGCAAGGCATTCGCAGAGCCTTCATGAGGTTCTTTATTAACCCTCCTGTGGCCTTCCAGGGCTTCCCCACCCGCCACAGCATGAGCGATGCCATAGTCAGTGTGGCCTGTGCTTGGAATGCTGTGCCTAGCCAGGTCTTCAGGCGGGCCTGGAGGAAGCTGTGGCCTACTGTTGCGTTCGCGGAAAGCTCCTCTGAGGAAGAAGCAGAGTGCTACAGCCTCCAGCCTCACAATAAGACTTTCGCGCACATCCTTGAGCTCGTCAAAGAAGGGTCCTCGTGTTCTGGCAGCAGGCTTCAGAGCGGCAGGGCAGGAGAGCAGGGTGTGGCGGGGAGGGACATGGATGGGGCCCCTGCTGTTGTGGCAGCATCCCAGGCCACTAGGCATGCAGAGAGCGCAGAGAGAGGCGCTGGCCGTGAGGTGGAGGCAGCCTGGGAGCAGGCAGCCGCGTCCTTTGAGGCTCTTGTGCGCTTTGCAGAGCAGCAGCCGTGTTTCACCACGCAGGAGGTGGGACAGCTGCAGGCACTGCACACGGTGTTCAGGAGACAGCAGCAGTTGAGGCGGCCCCGAGTGGCTCTCAGGGCTGTGATCAAACTTGAGGCTCTCCAAGAGCGCCCTGGGGTGTGCGTGGCCACAACCCACTCTGCCTTGCCCTGCTCCCCCGCACCAGGTGACGCCTGAAGAAACTGGCCTGCGCCTGCTGACCCTGCAGCTCTGCTCTGTAACGGGTTCAGCTGTGGGGCTCAGACTGCCTGGCAGGAGACAGTACTCAGACGAGAGCAAGCACAGACTCAAGCCCCAGGAGCATGGCTCCTTGTCTACACAGAGGGCTCCTCGTGTTCTGGCTAGTGGTTTTACTGCATCTCCTAGGACAGGTGGGCATCATTTGAGTGGCGGGAGACCTGGGCCTTCTCCCTCAGCACTCTGGAGCCTCCGCTAGCTGCAGCTGGGCCCAGTGGGCCAGATCTGCCTCTGGGTTGGGAGACTGAGACACATCAGCTTGAAGTGCCTTGAGGGGTGTACCTCCAACCCTCAGGAGGCTGGCTTTCCCCCAGTCGGTGAACCCCAAGCCGCGTCCTGAGGGCACTGGCTTCAGCTCCTGACCTCAGTGCTCACACCCCCACTGGTAGTTGCATAGGCACGTGCCATCTAGAACCCACCTCCGCCATGGACAAGCAAGCTTGATGGTGAGACTCAGTAGTTTCCCTGTCTGCAGCAGGCCCCACCTCTAGGGTCCCGGTCCCATGGAGACACTGCATGCTAGTGTTAGCATTGCTCAGAGCTCACCATGTGTCCGGAAGTCTGTGCTCCCCAGAACTTGGAAGTGACAGCCTTTATGTGAACAGTTTGCATGAAGTCACAGTACAGCACTTGGTGACTCGGAGCTCAACCGGGGATAGGCAGGTTAGCGGTGCTCGTATGGGAGATGCCTCTGCACCGCTTGGTTCAGCCAGCTGAACATGACTTCTGACCTTGGAGCTGATGGGCAGCACTGTGGTTGCTGTGCCTGTGACTCCCAGGGCCCTTTGTGTGTAGCCATTAACTCTTGGCATCACAGCTTTGTCCTTGACCTCCATTGCCTTTGGGACCCATGGGGCTAAGTGACCACAGTTGTCATCCCAGTGTTTGACAGCGCCTCACCGAGAGGCCTTTGCCTGTGGGGCTCCGACAGCCAGGGGCCTGGGGAATGTTGGCTTGTGTTTCTATGTCTGTCCAACACAGAGGATGGCTGTTGCAGATGGCTCTGGTTCTTGCTTTCCCTGCATGTGAACATTATAACCAGGTTGTTTTTAGAAGTCTTTGTTTGATTCTTGTGTCCCTTCCGTTGGCAGGGATCATTGTTCTGTCACACCACTTGTTCTGTGTCTGGGTGACATCTGTGTGCTCCTGTGCTGTGTTTCTAGCTCACTATGGACACTACAGTGCCACCATTGCAGCTACTCGAGCTGCTGCAGGTCCAAGGTTGGAAGTCACACTTGCCTACAGCATCAAATGATGGACATGAGGGGGAGGATGGGGCAGGGCTGGGAGAACTCCTGGTCCATAAGGTTTGTGCAATCAGACCACATTCCAGGACCAGTGCTGGCTGGCCTTGAGAACCTGCTCCTGGTGTCTCTGCCTACTAGATTTGTGGTATCTGTCCCCAGGGCACCTTCCAGAACAACCAAGGTGGGTAGGTCCCTTTGTGTTGAGAGATCCAAGATGAAGGCCAAATGTTCTGCCTTCCTCTTCTGCGGCCGTTGGCAGCCAGCTTCCTTCAGGCAGGCTTGTCCTAGAGGTGTCCAGGTGCAGGTTTGGGGAGGGTGTCAATCCCCTGAGAGCATGTATGTCTGTACTGCCTCCCATGTGTACTCCGGGCGTGCCTGAGGCACTCCCCCTTAGATCCAGCCTCTTAGAAGCCCAGGCAGTTCAGTGTTGGTCTCTGAACTCTGAGGTGGTAGATACACTGTGCCAGGTGTATAGACCGACCTGGCAGGACCCAGTTCATTCTCTGCTCAGTGGCCACTGAGCCACTCAGAAAGCCCTCAGCTCTCTTGGGCAGAATGTGCTCTGGTCCCTCGATGTGCTGTCTGCCTGTCCCTATGCCTCCCAGATACCTGTGCAGCCCAAGCTGGCTTAGAACTGGCAGCCCTGCTTCAGCCTCCTGTGTGCCAGCGTCAGGAGCCAGACCGTTCCATTGACAGACAGACCTAGGGCACTGCAGTGTCACAATTCCCTGGCTGCTCCCCACCAGCAGGGTTTTTTCTCCCTGTATGTTTGTGGGAGACCCTGCTCATCAGCTCTCAGAGGCGATGGAGATTGTCCCTGCGTATGAGGGCCTGGGTAGGACCCTCCCCCTTCACCAGTGCTCCGTGGAAGAGCAGAAGCTCCCTGTCACAGCCCCGCGTGTTGTCTCCACAGAAGTACATCCACAGCAAGACAGGAAGTGAAGCCTTTGTCCTGTGGGTGGAGAGTGGTGAGAAATGAGTGGAAGTTGGCGGGCTAACCAGGTGAGGGGAGAAGAGGAGGCTGCTGCCCTGTCATTACCGAGGTGGTGACTATTGGGAAGCTGCTCAGGCCCTTCATGGCCGGCTGCACTGGACCTAAGGACCATGTGATCTCAGAGAGAGGCTGGGTGGGGTCTGGAAAAGATGTTGGATGGGGCTGTGGTGACTGCTGTCACCTCCTTCCTTAAGATTGGATCTGAGGACCTCCAGGGAGTGTCCGCATCTGTGGCCGTGGAAGCTGGAGCCATCCTCTTGTGAACCTGGCCCTCAGCGAGAGGACACCCTGAGTTTGGCAAGGTGGAAGCTGTGATGTGTCAGAGAGATAGTGGGGCTGCGGCTGTGGAGTGGACTGCCCTTGGTCCTGACTCCAGCTCATTTCCATGATGGCCCTCTGCCTGCCACCAGCCCCCCCTCCCCCCAGCATTCCTTGCATCCCCAATGAGTGCCATGCTGTCCTTGGTCATGGGACAATAGGTTTTTAAGTAGGGAGTCCAGGGCTCCCTGTTGAGTGACAGGGCCAACTGCAGCTTGGTTTATTTAAGGAGTTGAGATTATTTTGTAGTTCCAAACCCCTCAGCTCTTCTCACCCCTTACCATGTCTTTAATGGCAGAGGGCTAAGCTCCAGGGGAGGGAGGTAAGTCAGGGTGTGGTGCCCTTTCGGGAGCACCCTCAGATTGGAAAGTCTTGGGAGTTTTTGTATGATGAGGAGAGGGTATGCAGGGTCCCGAGGCTCCTTATGGATGCTGAACGCTCTGGGTGGGGTTGACATAACTCCCTCTGTAGAACTCCTAGGCTAGGGTTATCCCTCCAACTAAGTGCCCAGCCCCCTGTCCAGCACCCTGACTGCCTCAGGCCCTTGTGTCCCTGAGATTAGAGCCTCAGCCTTCAGCACCATCCTGCCTCTGCACCCCTAGCCCAGCAGCAGCCTATGGAGGAGTTTGTCCAGATGAAGGGAGCTGCCCCTAAAGAGATGTGTGCACAGCGCACAAAGGACAGGAGGTAGACAAAAGTTGCACTCTGTGGCTAAGTACACGAATAAAAGGCTTTCTGTGGACATTAACAGAAGCTCCACCCAATAAAACTGTCCCCACCTGCTGTCTCTAGTTGTAGTAAATTCACCATGCAGCCATTGCAGCCCTCAGGCCCCTGTTGTGATCTGAGTCAGGGCTGAAGTACCTCTGCCCTGCCACTGGGGACAGGCATGTGCCCTGTAGTCTGGGCTTCCTAGGAAGCAGGCCACAGTGAAGCTTGCAGCTTCTGGGCCTCCTGCAGAAGGATTCTGGGAAGGCTGGAGGAATACCAGCCCAGCCCCCTGGGGACCCCAAACGGGCAGAGAAGACGGGTGAAGTGGAGGGACAGACGCTAGGGGGCGCCCTCTCCCTGCATGCCATCTCTGCACAGACCTGAAGCCAGAAAGTTTGTGTCCTCTGGAGAAGACGGGTGAAGTGGAGGGACAGACGCTAGGGGGTGCCCTCTCCCTGCATGCCATCTCTGTACAGACCTGAAGCCAGAAAGTTTGTGTCCTCTGGTGGGAGGATAGAAACTTACCGTTGCCCACTTCTGTGAACATCCCATTCCTAAGACCATGTGCACAGCTGTGCTAAGAGACTGTTAGGATGGACCCACCGGTAGCCCCTGACTCATTCTCCCAACAGGAACACTCACATCTTTCCCAGTCCTGCAGGGCTAGGCAGGCTTATGTTTGTTGAAGACTGCACAGACCTCCAAAGCTTCCATCTCTTTGTTTTAGGAGCAATTATACAAGTAACCCTGAGCATGAAGGAGACTCCCTAAAGCCTTGGGCATTCTGCAACCAGCATACCTGGTTCCTTCCTGGGAACTCCTGTCCTGGTGGGCATTTAGAGAGCACTCCTGACTGAAGATGCCTGCAGCTCTTGGGAGCCTGTTTTCTATAGGCTCTGCTTTGACTGCCTGGTCTCTGCATACTCTGTCAGCTCTGTGTCAGGCTCCACACTGTAGCTGACCACAATGCCACCCAGCCACAAGGTCGCTTGGTTAAGCAGCTTCCCTCATTGTGGGGAAGCCAGGCCCTTGGCTGCTGTTCTGGTCAAGGACTTCTGAGACTTTCCTAATAATTGGATTTTATTTTCTGATATTAAGTGGCATGTGGGCTGGCAGGCCTAGCTTCTTTCTTGATAAATGGGATCAGAATGTCATTGTGAGTCCTTTAAAAGCTTTAGAAAGGATAGCTATGCCTGTCACCATGCCCAGTATCCAACCCTGTGCCAACCTTTGCAGGCCTCCATCCAGTATCTTCTCTCACCTTCCCTCTAATGACCTGAGAGCATCCACATCTGCCAGACATCTTCTGTGACTTCCTCACTGTGTCTGCTACAAGTCTGGGTAGGGCTGGTGTTGATGTTGCCTCAGTAAGTCATTTGCATATTGAATACTGAAGGGTCTGTTTGGTGAAACAATTCAGACAGCTGTGTGGGATTCCAGTCTGTGAGGCCTCCCAGAGAGGAGTAGAGGCTGATGGGACAGGTGGGAAGCTGCCTTTAATGCGGCCAGAAGTTCTTTTGTAAATGTGTAGTGATGGCCACACAACAATGAATACAATGACGACTGAGATGGTGCCTGATGGTGGCTTACCAGCCAGATCCCAAGAGGAGGTGTTCACCCTGCAGTCTGGGGTGGGCACAGAAAGCTTCAGGCTAGGACCACCAGGAGCCATACCACATCAGAAAGCCGGTAGGGATGAAAGAGGGTGCCGAGTCACACGTGGGAGCTGGAACCACTGCCCGAGAAATCACCCAAAGCAGGGAGAGAGGAAATGCCTGCCTGAGCCGCTGATCCTCACTTCCTGTCTCGAGACAGCTGTGCCCCTTGGTAAGGCTGGTGAGAAGCCATCAAAGAAGGTTGGGAAAGGAGCTGAAGAGACAGAGCCAAGAGGAAGGAACACTGAACAAAAGTCACGCCACAAGCGAAGGTTGGTCATGCATGTGACTATTAATGGCTACACTCTCAGAGGTGACTGGCTTTGTCTCTTTCCTGGAATTTATGGAGTACCTACCAAAGTTACGGCCCTAGACATATCGTTTCACATAAAAACATTCACTATGACCTGAGTGCCAAGTCAGAAGGAACGTGTGAGAGGCCTTGACCCCTTGAGTGTTTGCCCTGGGCTCAGGGGATGGCAGCATCAGCCTCAGCCGTCCATCGTCCACCATCCATTCGTCCACCCACCCACGTATGCCCCAGCCGTCCATCGTCCACCATCCATTCGTCCACCCACCCACGTATGCCCCAGCCGTCCACCGTCCACCATCCATTCGTCCACCGACCCACGTATGCCTCAGCCATCCACCGTCCACCATCCACCCATCTGTTTGTCCTTGTCTGCTTATCCACCATCCATCATTCAGCCATCATCCATCTAACTTCCGTGTAGCGTCCAGCCGTACTCACCCGTCCGTCCATCATCTCTCCATCTACCCAACTGTCCACATGCTTCTACCTACTTGCCCATCTGTCTCCTCATTCACCTTCCACCCACTCACCTATGCATCTGTGCATCTGACACTGTCACCCTCACTGAACAGCTTGCTGCCATTGGTCTCTGCCTGCCAAACCCCTCCCAGGACTTACTACATTAGAAATCCCTTTCTCCTGTGAACGGCTGGTGCTAATGCCTCATCTATACTTAGAAACATAGTCCTTGGTGTGTTCCTTGCCAGTTGCCCCTTGAGTCCATAATACACCAGGCTTTCCTACCTTACAGATGGTGAACAGAGGCCACAGATGGAGGCTGCAGGCTCGAGTGACCAGGGGAGACCAGCTGAGCTGT